CCCCAAAACCCCAAAACCCCAAAACCCCAAAACCCCAAAACCCCTTTAAGTGATATTCCAGTTGAAAATTATCTCTTTTTAGCCTTATTCTTCTTTCCTTTCAGTGTGTTTATCAACTCAATATGCTTTTTTGGGATTCAGAACTCCTCAATCAAGATATTTTCAACTCGCTCTGGGTGGATTCCTTGGATCTTTATATGCTCTGAAGAATATGATTTCTCTTTCTGACAGACAGAGACACCTACAGCCAGTTTTACTTGGAGAACATGGCATGCATCTTTGAAGTCTATCTCCCAAGTCTCGAGGCTGAGGATCCTGGTCACATTCTTATTCATGAATTTCTCAATGACAATCTTTACTTTAGGAATATAGCCTGCTTTGACTTTCTCAGTATCTTTAGAGACGACGTTGAGTCTTTTGACAAGATGGAAAGGCCTCAGGAAGATTTCTATATCCTTAAAAAGGGCTCCTTTGTTCGCAATCGACTGGCCTGTCTTGGGATCTGTCTTGATATCATTCTTGTTCTTGACCAACTTCACCAGATTAGGGTCTAAGATTGCATTGTTCCTTCTACTAGGATGCTCCAGCTCGTTCTGCTCTATATACTTTGAAATAATTTCTCTGCAATCATCGATGGATAAGGGTTGGGTGCCATCTTCTTTGATGTCTTCAAAGACAGCAGCAAGCTCTTTAGATCCTACTTTATAAAACTGGGTGATTTCAACAAGTGGATAAGACTTGTTTGGGGCACCTTTGACCTCCTCGACCTTTTTCTCTTCCTCTTCATCTTCGGTTTGAATGACCTTTCTGAAGCCTGCAATGGGAATTTTCGCTTTCTCGCAAGCTATAAGATGAGCCATTTGGATTTACCCTTTCTGTTGATTCCTGTGATTACTTCATGGTCAACTCCTTTTAGCTTTGAGAATGAGATCAGCTTCTTCTGTTTCATCTTTTTAAGGAATTTGGTAATCTTTTTGAAGGAAGACTTTTTAAAATCAATTTTTCCGTCTTCAGAATGCTCATACTTGAACATAAGATCTCCTTGGAGCTTACTAGGCTCCATCGGAAGTTGGTTCTCCTTTACATGTCTGACGAGGCAGAACATGAAGTTCCTGGTGATCAGATCGTCCATCTCTTCAGGAGTGATCTCTTTGATATCTAGATTTTTCTCTTCCTCAAAATCTCCATCAGCTTGACCGCTCTGGGTACCACTTTCAACAGTAGGATTATCTTCAGCCTCATTTTCTTGTTGATCTAATTCCTCAGTGGCTTCTTCGTCTCCAGGGTTTTCCTCTGTAACTTCTTCCTTGGTCTCTTCAGGTTGGGATGGGATGGTCCCATCTGCATTTCTGACTAAGATTCGAGGAATTTCATCAGAGATATTGATTTGTTGACTTCCGTAATTCCAGAGCTCATCGAGAAAGAAGTGCTCTATCTGGACTGCAACTCCTTTACTTTGCTTGGTAATGTCCTCGGGGTTGCACAAAGGTTCAGTAGAGCTATTGGGCACTCTTCTTCCAATAGCCACTGGGATCTCCTGCCTGTAGGTATTTCCTTCATCATCGACGATATATTGCTTTTGGAATACAACTGCTACTTCTTTCTTGAAGGAATCATAATGTTTGCTAAGTTTCTTCTGTTTGCGTTTTTGGGCAGCTCTTTTACCTTTATCATCTATAATTGTAACTAAGGAATCATACCTTTGGTCTCTTCTTGGCTGTCATCTTCAATAGGGTTGTATTCTACCCGCTCTATACCTGGCCACATCAAGTCAGCTCCGTTGATAATAAACGATTCAACGCCAGTTTTGAGGTGAAAAACAGTTGGGATTAAGTGGGGTACCTTGAAGAGAGCATAAATTGATGGGAACAACTCGAGTACATTTCCCTTCGCTTCATGACATGCTAGAATGGGAATCTCCCCTTCCTCGTCAGAAATAAGCGTGTATATGCTATCTTTCGAGGAAGTCAGCTTATCTTGCCTGACATCACTGTGAGTAGTCAGCAATTTCTCTACTTCAGGCTCATTATAAAGGTTTTTCAGGATATTAAGAATGTTCTTCTTGTCCTTGTTAGCTACCAAGGTCTGGCCAGAGACTTTGAATTTCTTTTTGAACATGTTTTTAGTTAATTTTTAACAAATAAAGGGGTTTTGGGGTTTTGGGGTTTTGGGGTTTTGGGG